TATATATATATACATACACACACAAACACACACACATATTAGATATATAGATATGTTTTATATGTTTACAAAAATAAGCATTGCAGTGCATATGTCCACTAAAATCCCTGAATTACTGTTAGCTTTCATAACTTAGACAAACTACTGCTAAAACTCCTCAAATAGAATTCCTCTCTGCATATGTATAATAAATTAAAGATTTACACTATAAAATGGCTGGTTTGTGGTAACTGGAACTAACATTTGAATACATAATCTTTGCCTTGCTTGATGCCATAATAGAAGGTTTCTTTTCTGAAGCTCTAAATACAATATGGACAGATCCAGTGTATACATCATAAGTGTTCATGTTGTATCATCATTGAAAAGCATCTGTGCAAAATAAGCCTTTAAGAAACCAGTGTCCATAACCGTATTTAGCAAATTATATAAGACTATAGTTTCACTCAGAGATCAGGACCAACTATAAAACGCTTATACAAAAATACTGTAGCAGGCAGATTTAAATTAGAACATATACCAAGGGACCTTCAATTATGACCATGTTGCTTTGGATATAACAATGAACTTTACATACTGACAGATTTACCTATTTGCATCAAATTCCACTGCTGAGCACCAGTCCAGCACTGGAAATACACAAATGGATGGGCTTTGCAACCAATGTCAAGTCATCGGACTAAATTGAGGATGTCATGACAACCCATCTCTGGAAAAATCTATCTTTTATCCGTTCATTTTAAGAAAGAAGATTTGTTCATAGTATAAAATGCTGTCCAATGATCTCACCATAAAATAAATTATCAATGCAATCAATTTCTTTTAAAAAGTTCATGTAACGATCATCCTTTCAGTTGTCTGTTGTAGTTCGCACAGTCGATCAAGGGAGATTTATTAATGTGAACAAGGGTAAGTGTTTCAGCCATTTTATCTCATGATATTCCTCATAATAACTGATTACTGGTAATGAATCGTTCCTATTATTCTGCAACGTTTGAACAATCTCAAGTTCATAAATTACATTAGTCCAAATAACTTAAAAACAGAATGGTTTGTAGCAGACGTAATTTGGGCTGGCTTGAGGCCAGTTAGCAGCCTTTTCATCTGGAACCTTGGTCACTGTATAAAAGGATAATTACCAACAAGTTTTGCAATTTCTATTGTGCAAAAATAAAGTGGAACATAAAAACTGGGGAGGGTTTTGTCCCCATGGAATAAACAGGGAGAGTAGGAAGTAAGAAATTCTCATGAACAGTGACCAGTTGCCGACCTCCTAGTGCAGGATACGGGTCTTGCTTCTGTATTGCACCAAAAAGTAAGATGAAGTCTCATCAACCAATTGGCTCGATGGATCAGATTCCTCCTCCCCTGCACATTGGCAAGTTCACAAATGTAAAGACGTTAAATTCTGTAAGGATGGAAAGACACAGGAAGATGCCATAGAGGAAAATACATGTTATGCCCAACTTCTTGTCCAGTTTCCACTTGTTTAGACGAATACCACATACCTAAATGAATAAACAACAAGAACAGTCAGCACTGTGCCAAGGGTTCTATGACAACCCAAAAAACAGCACAAATAGGTATACATAAGTAAAATTAGGAATAATTTATAGAATTAAGTGAAGAGAAAAATGGAACTATGACCCAGAACAACCAAGCAATGAAATCAAATGAACTATTATGGGCTAGACAGACTTTCCTGGCCACCATTTTCTAATATGTAATTCCTAATGTTTCTATAAGAAGAGCAGGGGTTAACATTTAAAGTAATCCTGCATCAGTATATAACATGTAAAAAAAGAACAGAACTAAAAGAATACCAGCTTGAGGGTTCATGTCGACGGGTGTTCAATTCAACCAGATCTTGCTAAGTCAATGGGAGTTTGCTGGCCTTCATTTGACATGCATTACAAGCGCACCTCAATGCAGGGCAACAAGGCCCATCAACATGAGCCCTAAGTTGGTCAGGCAGGCCAAACTGCATTATGGATGGGGGATGGGGAGGGGTGTTCCTGCTTTTTTTAAACCCACCAGATATTTTTCTGAAGACACTTTGGTGCTGGCAGAGGTATGTTCAACCACTCTATGATACATATTAGGGCACCTCAATGCTTGCCTTAACATGTTAAGAATCCACATTTCTTAAAAGTGTTTCTAAACCCAAGAACAAAAATGTAATCTATTTCAGTTTAGCAGCCCACAGATGTATTAGCTTCTTTAGTTTTCTTTTTTTTTCAGGCTCTTTTGCTTTAATATTTACGTGGTTAGCCTGACAGTAACACACTACCTGTCCTAGGTTGACCGTAGGACTATAGAATACCTCTCTTCATCTTTATAACATGGAGGTGTTCTGTAGCTCAGAGACAGAAATGAGACCAATGCTAACTGATAACAGTCAGCAGAAAGAGAATATACTATCATTAGCTCACAAGATTTGTGGCAGGAAAAACAGGAATTTCTTTGCACTCATTAAACAAATGTAAACAAAAAAGCCTGTTTACATCCACTTTAAATGTAACCATGCAGAATGTTATCCATATTCATCATTTCATCTCACAGAACGGGGTAGGAGTATGCTAAACCTACTGTAACTGAATGTATCTGTTAGTATCACTTTTTTATTTTGTTTAGCATTTTACCTATCCTTAAAAATGTGCCCACATACCGTAACAAACAGGGAAGCCAGAAGCAAAGCCACAGAATATATCAGTCCTCTGCTGTTCAGATGGATCTATAATAGACATCAATAACAGTATTACAGACAGAAAATAGGGATCTGAGACATTGTTCCAAAATGCAATATTTTAATTAAATGGTGACATATATACATGTAACTAACGTTTACCAGATAATTATTAAATCATCAAACACTCTAAAATGAAAAATACCCCTGAGCAACAGTAAAATGTATGTGAAATAAACAATGCAAGCTAAGTACACTTCCACTTTGCAATGATTTGCCCATGATACAAGAACTCTTGTCCCTGTCTGAAAATGATAGAACCTGTGCCACTGTATCCCTAACTCTTCCTACCAGACTGATATACATTTTTGGAAACATCATCAAATCATCCTTCCAATCTGAAAATCATACGCACAACCCAGATCCTCACCCCAGTCTGATTTCCACCCACACAAGTTCTCCTCAATGGGCTAATAACCAGCTGTGAAGATTTCCCCTCAGCTGGAATAACATGCAGATCATGTCATCCTGCCCTGAAGGTAACCTACTAGAACTAATAACATATTCTCAGCCCACTAACAACCCCTGAGGCTCAAGGACTTGCTTTACTTCAAATGATCCCTCCCCTACAACAATGTTGTAGTAGAAAACTGAGATAGGCAGCTGATACTCATGTTCTGTGTGAGAGATTGAGTTAGGAGGCGATGTTTCCAGATGAAGTTTCATCTTACAGCCAAGATATATAATATATCACATAATACTAGGTCTCTGGGTGACAGCTCATGGACATAAAGAGGCCTCTAGGTGAAATTGACGTTGTGCAAGAAAAAAACCATAGCGCCAGACCAAAATGTTAAGAGACCCTGAAGATTTAATTTCATTATAAACTATTAAAAGGACAAGCCAGTTTGTTTTTGGGTCCCTTCATCGGGGTTTAAGATTACTAGTATACTTGTAAGAATCTGGATGTTCTCAGACTTCAATGTGTAAAAATGACTAAAATGAAGATCTCATTATTAAGAATACCAGCAATACCTTTAGATACTGTGTTCTGACTTACAAATTACATTTTCTAAAAGTGACAAAATCTAGTTCAGACGCTTAATTTTTCTGACCTGGTTGACTTTCTCAAAGGTTATGTAGTCTGACATAGTGAATTGGGATGAGGTTTGAGGTTCGAATTCACAGCAAAACCCTGCGAATCGTAAGCTATTGGCTGAAAATTTCACATTTGCTTTGCAAGAAATAGGGAACAATCTATAATGCAGTGCATAGACTTTTTCCCCAAACAGCAATAGCCAATAATGTGAAGGGATAGTTAACCCAACCCTCTACAAAAGGATGAGCTAACAACAGTCATATTGTCAATGTGAGTTTAAGGATTTAGGGAGAGCTGACAACTCTATGTATGGATCTATGTGTATTCTATTTTTTTTTATTTTGGCACTGGCAGATGCAACAGTTGCTTATTAGCCCTGAACCATGGCCAGAAGTGAATAATGTAATTATTACTACCCCTCCCTCCCACCTCTTGCAGTCCGATGCAAAGTTCACAAACTTTAATTTTTGACAAAAATTTGAAAAACCGTTTGCAAATTAAACCTGGGCAGATTTGCTTATCCCTATAGTGACATGTTCTCATATAGTGCTATGTTCTGTCTCACAAATGTGCATTTGCTTATTGTACCCACTATACCGTATTACACATCAACAAAAAGGCACAATTTTGCTAGCTGCATCAGCAGGCCTAGGGCTGAGGATTGAGAAGTTATAGCAGTATAAGTATAAAGGTAATCCTATTCTACACCTCTTTCTTCTGACGGGACACTATCTGATAGATTACCTTATGCTCATAAAATTGCTCTAATGCAACAGATCCAGTTCCCAGGGGCAAGATTAAGAAAAGCATGATGCACACATTTGGTAAAATTGTGAGTTCTAGTTTGATCTAGCAGTGATCCCACTGACAAAAGTCTGCGTTCAGTCTGAATTTCATGATCCACATTACAGGGAAAACATGGCATCTTTCTTGCTGAAATTAGAAGACCTACATAATGTATTTCTGTTCAGGGTAACATTTATACCTGTAACCCTTCTTTGTGGTTCTTACAGGTTTACTTCCCTAACCCATCAACAAAGCCAGAGTTATTACAAGATGAGTGTTGGTATTTCAGAATAGCTTAAATGGTGACAGCATTATACATTACCCCTTCATGACTGAGGCCCTTTTTTCATTTTTTGCACCCATGTTATTCCACATTTTAGGCCTGAAAATGACTTAAAACCCCCCAACATTATATATTTTCTGAATGCCAAGACCCTATAGAATAAAATGGTGGTAGTTGCAAATTTTTATGTTGCGCAATATTAGCGCAACTCCTTATTAAACCCCAACATTTAGTGAAAAAATTAATGTTATGCCCCAAAACACAACAAAATACCAATACAAAAGTCGCCGGGAGTCTGTTTAAACAGCCCCGATGCTGGCGACGTACACTGTCGACGTCAGTCACGAAGGGGTTAAACTGGAATGAAGAATAGAGCCTCTGATATTATCATAAATGTAGTCCCAGCTTCTTCAAAAACATAATTATTATATGCCAAAAGGAAAGTCTCTCTGGAATGAAAACTAAAACAGTTTGCAAATGAATATTTATTTATTCTATTAAACGTGTATTTATTTGAATACATGTGTAGTTTGTATTTAAAAATTAGCCTAAATATGTCACAATAAAATAAAATATGTATTTCTAAATTCAAACACATATATAACATGTATTTATACACACACATGATGCCTACCCTTATAGAGAGATAAATAACAAATTGCCCAAACTTATCACATGATGTTTTTACAGTCCATTAGCATAGATTGAGCTGGTTTCCAGGAACAGACTGGTATTTACCTGATCATAGATGAACTTAGTTCACTTTTGAGCAGAATTAGGGCTCATTAACACTTAACGTACAATGAAGGGAATGTATCAAATTGGAGCAGACAAATTCTGGAGCAGCTGTGCAAAACAACTAATCAGTCTCCCTCTTTCATTTTTAAAACTTAACTGACCAAACTTAAGAGAGAAGCTGATTGGTTTTCATGCACAGCTGCTCTAGATTTTGTCTGCTCCAGTTTTGATAAATTCCCACCATTGTTTTTGATACCTATTCTGGGAAGACTATCAGGAGACTGCTGCATTCATTGTGCAGTAAGGAGGAACAGGAGTGTACAAGATCATGACCAGCAACTAAGAATAAGGACAAAGGGGTAGACAACTATGGCCAATGTAAAAACCAGAATGTCAAGTACAGTCAAGGTAGACAGACAGACAAAGACATAACCAGACACGCAGAAAACCTGACTATCTGTCATTGGTCAATGAGAAGTGTCTGTGGTGTGGGTGAACTCTTCTGATTATAATAGACCCCTTGTGTCTAAACTGCTCAGGTATGCCCAGGTCTCACTGCTTGGCAGACCCTTCCCTGTAGCCATGGCTGATAAGAGTACGAGACTCCAATGCATAATGGAAGAGGGATACACAAGGGGTAACAAACACAAGGGAACTAAAGGTTAGGCCATACACTATACAATTTCATTATACAATCTCATTTTCAGATTTATCAAAACTTTGTAATATGAGGACAAACCTAACAATGTTTTAATTTCTATCAAATCAGACAGGCCCTGGTAGACCTGAAGGAGATTGTAAAAATATACTGGGAGGAATTTATCAAAACTGGAGCAGACAAAATCTGGAGCAGCTGTGCATGTCAAGCAATCAGCTTTTCTCTTCAGTTTGTTCAGTTAAGATTTGAAAATGAAAGAGAGAAGCTGATTGGCTAACAAGCACAGCTACTCCAGATTTTGTTTGCTCCAGTTTTGATAAATTCTCCTCAATGTACATTGTGTGGTCAAACTTAGGCCTTAAAACAGAATGGAGGAAATTAAGCAACAATGGATTAAAAACTGGAGGGCTTGACTTTGAAGCAGTAGATGCAAACAAACAATACACCAATAGGATAGTATAGGGAGACAAGAAAAACTGTGACAGCACAGAGACCTCAAATGAGAATTTAGATGTGGTACAACAAGACAACTAGAACTGGGAAAGATTTTCGCTAGGGTTGACCAAAAGTGATAGAATCGACCAAACACCAGTAGTTAGGACAGAAGGATGCCAGGGCAGGATCAGGGATCTCCAGAGAAAGAGTCTGGACGTAAAGAGGAACTTTACCCATATCTTCAAAATAACAACAAAGGCACATTTAGAAATGTTTAGTAATGACAATCTACAAACACATACTTCTAGATAATTGCCGGCTTTGTATTCTTTGCATACCTTATTTTTATTTTCCTCCCCATTCTTCTCACAGTGGCCATTTTAACTAAGGGCACATTGGAGGGTGACTACTTTTGTTCCCCATGGTTTCTGTGTGTGTTGTAAAGTAGTCAACGCTCCAAGCTCGCTCCCGTGCTAGACTATAATCTCACGTTTAGTTTACTAATTTATATTGAGATTGTAGTCCATCACGAGTCGAGCTTGGGACCACGGGGAACAAAAGAAAACACCTACCAGAAGGAAGGACAGTGTCAGCACCAATTCAGACATCATTTGAGGATCTACTTTTGAGTGATACACAAATAAGCTACATTTTTGTTACTGGTTATGGTGCTTGAATGCATTTTTAAGCTTTAGTGTCACTTTAAGTAGTCATTTTATAGTGTTTCTTTTATTAAACAAAAAGTATGACCAACAGAGGTCTGGACCTTCACAAAGCATTCAGAGTTTTCGTTAACAGCTGAACTTTGCAAGCTTATAGTCAAATCTAGTAGGGAGTTTTATGCGGTGATGTAATCTGTACAGGAAATAATGTCATGCTCTTTACCAATTAACTTCACATTCCATAACTAAACATTTCTTAAAGCTGTCAAGTTCACATACAGATATATAGAACGTTATTGTGCAATATAATCTTTACATTTATATTTATAAGTGGCAGTGTACAATTTGTTCCACATTCCAGCATCCCTTCTACCTTATACAAATTGT